TTCCCAGTCAGAGCACGTGCCTGAGTTGTGGGTCAGGTCCCCAGTGGGGGGCGTGCGAGAGGCAACCACACATGGATGTTTCTCTATCTCTCCCTCCCTCCCCTCTGTCTAAAAATAAATAAAATATTTTTAAAAAGATGAACATATACCTATCTTCCACTCTTGGGCACATATGCAAGAGGAACTTTGCTAGGTTTCACTAGGAGGCATGCACTCAAAAGTCCATAGCAACAAACTGGAAACAAACCAAAATGCCCTTCACAGAAAATATCTGTTCTATAAGACTGAGGAGAGAAAAGCCAATCCTAGAAGACTATAGATAGGATACTTTAAAAAATTTTATTTAATTATTGTTTGAGTACAGTTTTCTGTCTTATACTCCCAACCCAGTCCATCCCCCCTAGATAGGATACTTTTTGCATCAAGTTAAAACTATGCTAAACATATAATTTTAGGCATACATAAATATATACTTAAGCTATGTAAAAAGAGGGGGAGCAACCCGAGTGTCCTTTGACAGATGGCTGAATAAACAAATATGGCCTCTATACAATGGAATGCTATTCAGCCATAAAAAGGAATACAATTCTGACATATTACAACAAGGATTAACCTTGAGAACATTATGCTAAGTGAAATAAGCCAGTTATAAAACGACAAGTATCCTGGCTGGTGTAGCTCAGTGGATTGAGTGCGGGCTGTGAACCAAAGGGTCGCGGTTTGACTCCCAGTCAGGGCACATGCTTGGGTTGTGGGCCAGGTCCCCAGTGGGGGCCATGTGAGAGGCAATCACACACTGATGTTTCTCTTCCAGTCTTTCTCATTCCCTTCCCCTCTCTCTAAAAATAAAAAAAGAAATAAAATATTAAAAAATATTTTAAAAGACAAATATTATACAATTCTACTTATATGAAATATCTAGAATGGGCACATTCATAGACGGGAAGTAGCTAGAAGTTAACAGGGCCCAAAGGAGGAGAATGGGGAGCTATTGCTTAATGAGTACAGAGTTTCTCTCTGGGGTAAAGGGTTTAAGAAATAGCGGTGATAGTTGAATATTTTGAATGTAACAAATGCCCCTGAATTGTACTCAAAAGTGGCTAAAATGGCAGGTTTTGTGTTATATATATTCGTCACAAATTTCAGAAGTAAGAGAATGATAAACACAAATGAGGGCTGGTCTCTGTGGGGTGTGGGAGTTCTGGGGGGCCAGATAGTGTATGTAAGTTACTGGTAATGGTCCTGTACTGGGGTTGGATCCTGGCTTCACAGGTGTTAATGAGCTTTTTTTTTTTTTTTTAATATTTTATTTATTTATCTTTAGAAGGGAAGGGAAAGAGAGAGGGAGAGAAACATCAATGTATGGTTGCCTTTCGTGCGTCCCCTGCTGGGAACTGGCCTGCAGGGAACTGGTCTGCAACCCAGGCATGTGCCCTGACTGGGAATCGAACCTCGATTGTCTGGTTCGCAGGCCCGCGCTCAATCCACTGAGCTACACCAGCCAGGGCTTTAATGAGCTTATTTTTAAAATAAAATGAAAGCAGGCCTTGAGTGGACTAAGTTGGTGGATAGTAAGTCATCTGATTTTTTGCATCTGAATTAAAAAAAAAAAAACCCTAGAAAATCAAATACCCATGTTCCCATGAGTCAGGACATGATCTCATATAGAACATGAGAAGCCCATTGGGCTTCCCATTTGCTTCCTCCCTGCCATCAACAAGGCTTCTTTCCAGGTTTGCAAAATGGAATAACAGAAATAGGCCCTTACAATTACTGTCAACTGATCTTTGACAAAGTCAGCAAAGGCAATTCAATGGAGAAAAGATATTTTTTTCAACAAATGGTGCTGGAACAACTGGATGCCCATATGCAAAAAAAAAAAAAAATCTAGCCCTGGCTGGCATAGCTCAGCGGATTGAGCGCGGGCCTGTGAACCAGAGTATCGAGGTTCGATTCCCAGTCAGGGCACATGCCTGGGTTGCAGGCCAGTTCCCAGCAGGGGATGCATGAGAGGCAACCATACATTGATGTTTCTCTCCCACTCTTTCTCCTTCCCTTCCCCTCTCTCAAAAAATAAATAAATAAATAAATAAAATATTTAAAAAAAAATCTAGACAGACCTTCTTATCCCTCACAAAAAATGAACTCAAAATGGATCACAGACCAAAATGTAAAATGCAAAACTAAAAACTTAGATCATAATGACAGAGAAAATCTAAGTGACCTTGGGTTTGGCAATGCCTTTTTTGGATCCAATGCCAAAGGCACAACCCATGGAAGGTGGAATAGCGTACACAAAGCTTATAACCACACTAGGAGAAAGCAACCTTGTCACTTTGGGATGACAGAAGGGTCCCAGGAGAAGACAAGCTGGACAGAATTTTGGGGACATGGTTTGGCTTCAGCGTCCCTGAGAGTTTGCTCGTGGAGTAGCCAGTAGGCAAGGTCACAAGCAAGTACTGGGCAACAGGGCTTCCCAGTCAGGCATCTGGCAGGGCTGGAGGGAGACCTGAGACCTCACCTGGTGGTGGGGGAATAAAAGAATGGGCTCCTGGCCCCCCTGCAGTAATCAGGTGGGTTGACGTGGAACCCTCAGTGGGGTGATCTGGTGACCTCAGCAGATCACCTTCAGGGCATGGAGGGAGAGTAGCAAAGGCAGGACAGGGCCAGTTCGCAAAAGAACCTGGGCCGGGCTCACCTTGGCATCTGGCCTTCAGATTAAAGAATGCTACAATGGTCACAGCGATCATGGTGGTGACAGCCCTCACCATGTCTGTCTCTGAGCACCCTGTTCTGCTCTAGACACGCTGCCCATCACGTTACCCTCCTACCACACTGGGGTATCTCTCCTCTCTCCTCTTCTTTCCTCCTATCTCCTCCTCATTGCTGAGCTCAGATTGTAGTGGCTGCCCCTGCATCAACTGTTCCTGACCTCCCTTCTTCCCACACTCAGAGGTCTTTATATTTGTTCCGGAGAAACTGAGTCCAACTTACACAAGAAAAGGGATTTATCTGGCATGCTGCTGGACAGAGCACCCAGCGGGTGGAAAGTCTGATGGAGTGGGGCATGGGAAGCACAGGGATGACCTGTGAAGGCCTGGACTGCAGCGCGAGCTGCTCTGTCGCTAGAGTCATGGTGCAATCACAGCCAAGCAAAGCTGCAAGAGAGGGAGCTGCCCGTGTTAGATAACGTGCTGTGCAGAGTCTGTGGGAAGCCTCAAAAGAAGGCTCCCAGCACAGTCTCCTACAGGTTGGGCACAAGACCATATCGAAGGTATTCACCACTCACAAAGCATTTGCTCATGGTACTGGGTTGTGGTACAGACTTAGAGCCTGATCGTGAGACGTCGAATGTCTCTGTGACTAGAGTGGCCTGTCAGGACCTGAGTACTGGCAAACCCACCAAGTCTTGTGGCCAGGCAGGCTGGGCAGCAATCCAGTGGAGATGGCACCTTCAGGACCAGGCCCAACTGGAGCCAGATGCTCAAGTCAGATACATGGACAGGTAGGCTGGACCCAGGTCCCCTGCCTCCATCGCTTTGGCACTCCCCCTCAGCTTACACCTATGGACTCATGGCAGGAAGTTCCCTATGATGGACTGGCGAGGGGGAAACACTCAGACCTGGGTCACGCAGATGGCTATCTCATTATGCTGGTAAAAAACTGACTGCTGCTTCACTTCGGTCCCACTCAGGGAAGACGTCATGTGAAGATGAAGGTAAAAACTAGAGTGGTGCAGCTACAAGCCAAGGAACATGGGCAGTTTTACTGAGAACCCCCAAGAAGCTAAGAAGAGACAAAGGATCCTTCCTTAGAGCCCTAACAGGGAACACGGCCCTGCCAACACCTTCATTTTGGATTTGGAGCCTCCAGAACTGTAAGAGGATATATTTCTGCTGTTTTAAGCCACCGGGTTTGTGGTCCTTTGTGGTATGGCACTCCCCTCTTCAGGTCTGGGACAGGCAGTTCTGAGATGCGCTCTATCCAGCTCCTAGCAAGGTCAGGTCCCAGCGGCTTTGAGGACCCATCAACTTGAGTGAGAGTGCACCCTCACTCCCATCCTGGAAACACTTCCCAACACAAGCAATCTGCCTACCAGCCCTTGTCTCAAGGTCTGCTTTAGGGGCCACTCACACCTCTTCTCCAGATTCCTGTAAACCAGGAATCAGGAAGGAAAGGCTTGGAAGGGCCTTCCTCCACCGCTGCGGTCTAATTAAACTGCCCTGTGTGGTTAATGATTTTGGCACTTGCCAAAGCCTGGAAATAAGGCACGCAGCCACGGGACTTCTTGAGTTCAGCAGCTCTCCCCGGCACTACCTGAGAACATGGTCCTGAATCTGATGCGCTTTCCAGGCAAAGGCCTTCTCTCTCTAGAATTGTCCGAGAAGAGAGGGCAGGTTGTGAGAGAGAAGAAGAGATGGAGGGAACGTTAAAGCGCTGGGCCTGCGCGCACACTGGGGATTTAGAGACACAGGTCAGGTCTGTAGGCAGCAGATCCAGGCGGGCCAGTCCTGTGCTCACGCGAGGGCCCCAGGGCATCCTAAGCAGCTTGGCAGGCTCTCCCCACGATCCCCTCCACCTCAAGCGTTTTTTTCTTTTTATTCTTTAGAAATAATTAACAAAGGTGTCCATTTCAATGACAGTGAAAGAACCACTGAGTTAAAGGGGAGAAGCCGTTACTGAAAGGAAACCGGAGGGAGGGGTAGAGGCATTCGGGGTGCTGCGTTAAAGGACCTGGCAAAGGGGCTGAAATCGCACCCCGCTCCGAGGCCCTGAGCTCTCAGGGGGATCCCGGGCGGCGCTCCTCAAAACAGGATTTCTGTCTCCCGGGTCTGCACTGCACAAGCAACACGTCCTGTGCGGGGCGCCCCGGGGCCCAACGCCGGGGGTGGCGGGGAGCCAGGGACACCCACCCCTACTTCAACACTGGAATCCAGGCCCCACCCCCGGCTTCCCGCGCCGGCTCCCGCGGCCTCCCGCCGCTCAAGCTCCCACCCAGCCCCACTCCCCTCCTTTGCGCGCGTGCGCCCCGTCCCCGCGCCCCACCCCCGCCGCGGGCGCGCGCTCGTGTCCGTGGTCCCGGGCGGCAGCTAGAGACTGCAGGGCCAACTAGGGGCCGGAGAAGGGGCGCCGGGATCGCCGGGAGCGCGGCCGGGCGTGGCGGGAGCGCGGGCGCAGGCCTGGCCAAGAGCGGGGGCCGCCGCCGCGCCGCCGCCCACCAGTCGGCCGGCCAGGCCGCGGCGCTGAGCGCAAGGGCCGGGCTCCGGGGGCCAGCGACCATGGGCGGGAGCCGGAGGCGGCAGCGGCAGCGGCAGCGGCAGCGGCGGACCCCGCGGGCGGGGAGGCGCGCGGCCCACGGCCCCTGACGCCCCCGGAGGCCCGGCGCGCCCCCGCGCATCCTGGGGGGGCCGTAGCCAAGCAACGCCCGGCGCGCCTGCCCATCCCCCGCTTCCCTTTTTTTCCTGGCGGGGTGCTAGGGAGCATGCCCGAGCCTGGCCTCTGCCAGCTAAGAGTTAACCTGAGGGGCGTGGAGCTGTCCCCCCTTTGGGGGCGTGCCCCCCTTCCCCGCTAGGCGGCCCGCCCCCTGCTCTAGGGTATGGCTCCGGGCCCCGGCCCGGGACCCGAGGTCCCGCGCAAGGACCAGTGAAAGGCATTTACCCTTTTCTGCCCTCTTCCCTCGCCGGCCAGCAACATGGGATGCAATATGTGCGTGGTCCAGAAACCGGAGGAGCAGTACAAAGTAATGCTTCAGGTAGGGTGGTTGGGCCGCTGGGGTTGGGGGAGTGTGGGCGCCACCTGGGGAGAAAGCCGGCCCCGGAGTAGGGCCTGGTGTAGTCGGGGCCGCAGATGTGGAAGGGCTGGGGGGGCTCTAGAGGAAGAGGTAGGGAGCCATCCTCACCCTCAATTTCTGCAGCTACTGGGTGTTGGCGCTCCGTGGGAACCAGTCACAGATGGGGGGAACTGCGTGGGGGCGGGATTGTGGGATGCATCCTTTGGGCGCCAGGAGTAGATTGGGACGCGAGCCTTGGGTTCAGATCGGACCAGGTCTGGAAGTTGAGCTCGGACCTGGGGGGCGCGATGCTGCGGGCGCCGGCTCGGCGTGGAGGTTGCAAAGGAATGGCCTCTGCACCCTGCACACGCTCGCTGTGCTGGACCCAGGGCAGGGCTGGGAGGCGAGCCCCTGCGGCGGTGGGAGGCCAAATCTAGGTCCCTGCGGGACAGGGGCGCAGCAGTGCACGGGCAACCCAGGGTCTCACCGACGCCCGGCCCGGGCTGGCACTCTCTACTAGGGCCCTGACCAAACGGTGGCCTCCCCAGCCTTGGGTACCTCGGGTGAGTGGCTGCCTCCGGGTTCAGTGGGGAGGGCCGTCCTCGGGCGGTGGTGCCCGACCTCCTTTCTCTCCCACTGGGCCTCGGGGGGCGTGGACCGCGCCGTGCGTGGCTGGAAGGAAGAGGAGATACCGGGCTGCCCGCTCCAACTGGGACTCCAGCCCCGGGCCTGGGAGCGGGGCTTCCTTGCCTGTACGTGCAGTTATTTCGTGAGTGCGTGCCTGTGCCCCGTCTGTATGTGCGCGGAGGCTCCTGTGGCCCCGCGCGTGTGTACTTTCTGTGTGCGCTCTAAGAGCGGTCTAGAGAAATGTCCCAGAGGGTGTGGCCTGAGACGCCCCCATGGCTAAGTGGAGGGAGTTCAAGGTCAGAGGGAGTCGAGACCCTGGGGCAGACCCGACACAGACAGGTATGCACTTGAACTCCGTGTTCATTGGTCAGGACAGGGGTGCAAGTGCAGGCCGGAGAGGTGTTGCCCGGGGGAATGGGGTCTCCTTGGAAGAACAGGGGACACCCTTACAGGTATCAGCGGGACGAGGGGGAGGAGGAAGAATCAGTGCATCAGGCGTTTGGGGAGGCCGGGGAAGCCCAGCCACCGTTTGTGCTGGGAGTCTAGTTCCTCTGGTCACCGTGGAGTGGGGGGCGGTGCGGACAGGACGGGTAATCTTGCCCTGGCCTGGCGGCAGTCCTCCGCTGTCTCCCCGCAGGTCTCCGGGGCTCGCGAACCCTCTGCTTTTCATGCTCCCTGCCTCCCGCCCTCCATTCCTGGCTTTTGCCTTCTGGTGGGATTGGATTCAGGAGTGATCCTGGTTGGGACCGAGAGGCAGTCCCGTGGAATCCCGGTGCTGGGCACCCGAACTGCCTTATGGAGGTGGGCCGCGCTGGTTAGTGGATGAGGCCGAGGAATCCCATCTTCACTGCTTCCTTTCTTGGAATCATTTCAACAGAAGGCAAGCAGTTCCAAAGCGATGATGGGCTCTGGACTTTGCCGGCTAGGCATTGATGTAGTACTTCATTTCAGGCCGGGCCTCATGGGGATGTGTGAAAATCGGAGGGCAACCTGCCCTGTACTACAGGTCTGAAATGAGCCATGGTTTGGAAGTGACACTGCGGTAACCCTTTGGGGCTCCCTGTGGCAGTCGAAGGAAACGCCACAGGTTGGGCTGAGACTGCTTCCTTCAGGGGTTTCCATGCGTGCGGAGGGCTTGAATCAAAAATTCCCTGATCAGGCTTTCCCCCAGACCAGCTCCTGGGAACCCGGCTCCCTTTTTAAGCTCTCGGCAGAAGTTTGGACAGAAGGGGAGACTGGATGCAGTTTTAAAAGAGGAACTAACTATCTGCCCCAACTTGTGTGGCTTAGTTGGTTGGGCGTCCCGTGAAGTGAAAGTTTGTGATTCGATTCCTGGTCCGGACACATGCCTGGGTTGTGGCGCCCCGGTGGTTGGGGTGCGTGAAAGAGGCAACCAGTCCATGTTTCTTTCTGCCTGTACAACAACAACAACAAAATGAAATCTGGAAAAAGGAACCATCTTTTAAACTTAAGGGAAGACAAAAGAGGATCGAACTTTTAAAATCTGAAAAGCAGAGAAAACCGTTAACTACCTTAGTTGATCTTGTTTCTGGGGGCTGAAGTCCCTGGCATAGGAAGGGAAAACTTTCCCCTGTAACCCCTTCTCAAAGAAGGAAGCTGTTGTCTCAAAAGACCAGCCAGTTTCCAACCTGTTGCCTGCCACCAGTGATCCTTAAACACTGGTGTTCCCCCAGCTTCAGTGGCATTTCTTGTCTCCTCCATGCCCGCCTGTGACCCCTGCACCTTACTAGGGTAAGGGACCCCACGGAGACACAATGCAGCTCAGAGAAATGCACATTTCCACCCATATCACTTGCCATGTAACTCCTTGTATATGGCTTCCCCGGAGTCTCTTCCTAGACCTCCAGAGTTTCCTGACCCCCAGATCAAGGAACCTCCAAGTCTCTGTCCTAGCCTTGAGTTCCAGGCCTTTTTCGCCTGATGACGCACAAGCATTAAAAAAACAAAACAAACAAAAAACCCCCAAACCCAGCCTTGGCTGGTGTGGCACAGTGGACTGAGTGCCAGCCTGCAAACCAAATGGTCACCGGTTTATTCCCAGTCAGGGCACCTGCCTGGGTGGCAGACCAGGTCCCCAGTAGGGGGGCATGGGAGAGGCATCCATACATCGATGCTTCTCTCCTTCTCTTTCTCCCTCCCTTCCCCTCTCTCTAAAAATAAATAAATAGCCCTGGCTGGTGTAGCTCAGTGGATTGAGCACAGGCCTGCGAACCAGAGGATCACGATTCGATTCCCAGTCAGGGCACATGCCTGGGTTGCAGGCCAGTTCCCAGCAGGGGACTCACGAGAGGCAACCATACATTGATATTTTTCTCCTTCTCTCCTTCCCTTCCCCTCTAAAGATAAATAAATACAATCTTTTAAAAATAAATAAAAAATAAGAATAAATAAAATATTTTTAAAAGAACCCTACAACTTGGGATATAATTTGCATACCCTTAAAGTTTACAATTCAGAAGTTTTGGGTATAATCAGGGAGTTGTGCAAGTATCACCACTATTTAATTTCAGAACATTTCTGTCACCTTAAAAAGAAACCCTGTACCCATTTCCCCCCACGCCTCTGAGCCCCTGGCACCCGCTGATTTTGTCTTTGTGGATTTGCCTTTTCCAGACATTTCTTTTTAAAAAAATACTTTATTGATCATGCTGTTATAGGTGTCCCATTTCCCCCCTTTATTCCCCTCTGCCCTGCACCTCCCCTCTCACCCACATTTCCTCCCCTTAGTTCATATCCATGGGTTGTACATACAAATTCTTTGGTCTCTCCATTTCCTACACTATTCTTATCCGCCCTCTGTCTATTTTGTACCCACCAGTTACGCTTCTTATCCCCTGTACCTTTCCCCCATTCTCCCCACTCCCTCCCCGCTGATAACCCTCCATGTGATCTCCATTTCTGTGAGTCTATTCCTCTTCTACTGGTGTGCTTAGTTCGTTTTTGTTTTCTTTTTAGGTCCAGTTGTTGATAGTTGGGAAGTTTTTGTCATTTTACTGTTCATGGTTTTATCTTCTTTTTCTTAGATAAGTCCCTTTAACATTTCATATAATAAGGGCTTGGTGATGCTGAACTCCTTTAACTTGACCTTATTTGGGAAGCACTTTATCTGCCCTTCCATTCTAAATGAAAGCTTTGCTGGATAGAATAATCTTGAATGCAGGTCCTTGCCTTTCACGACTTGGAATACTTCTTTCCAGCCCCCCTTCTTGCCCCCCTTCTTGCCTGTAAGGTCGCTTTTGAGAAATCAGCTGACAGTCTTTTTTTTTAATATTTTATTTATTTACCTTTAGAGGGAAAGGGAAGGAGAGAGGGAGAGAAACATCAATGTATGGTTGCCTTTCGTGCATCCCCTGCTGGGATACTGGCCTGCAGGGAACCGACCTGCAACCCGGGCATGTGCCCTGACTGGGAATCGAACCGCGATCGTGTGCTTTGCAGGCCCGCGCTTAATCCACTGAGCTACACCAGCCAGGGCCAGCTGACAGTCTTATGGGGACTCCTTTGTAGGTAACTGTCCAGGCATTTCTAAATGGAACAATATGATATGTGACCCTTTGTGCCTAGCTTCTTTCATTTATCATATTTTCAAGTTCATCCATGTTGTAGCATGTACTAGTACTAAGTTTTTTTTATTGCTGAGTAATATTCTCTTGTATGACTACACCACATCATTTATCCCTTCATCTGTTAATGGCCATTTGTGTTTCCACCTTTTGGTTATTGTGAATTACACCGCTGTGGGTGTACAAATACCTGTTGGAGTCCCTACTTTCAGTTTTGTTGGGTACATACCCAGAAATGGAATTCCTGGATCATATGATAATTCTGGTTGATGTTTCCATTGGGGTTTAACCATTTTACATTCCCACCAGCAGTATAAGAAAGAGGGTTCCAACTTCTTCACGTCTTCCCCAATACATTTTTTGATCCTCACTCCAAGGATATGTTTATCGATTTGAGAGAAAGAGAGATCAATCCATTGCCTCCCATATGCGCCTTAATTGGGGATCAAACTCAACAAACATTTTTTGTACCCAGCGATGCTCCAACTACCCAGCTGGGTTCCAACACATGTTTTTAAATTAATTAATTAACTAACTTATTCTATTATCCCCACCTGAGGACATGCTTGTGGATTTTTAGAGAGAGGGGGAGGGAGGGAGGGAGAGGGGAAAGAAACATCTGTGAGAGAGGAACGTCACATGCGCCCACTGGGAACCCACGCCCACAACCTAGGTATGTGCTGTAACAGGGAATTAATCCCCAGGCCTTTGGGTTTATGGAAGATCCAACGGAGCCACGTGGGCTATGGCCCACCACGTGTTTTCCATCCT